CAGCAGGACATAGCATTCAGATATTAAGTAGATCCACATTATAAATTTGCTTTATCCTCATTTTTAAAACTAACCCAATGACATTTTATACTAAAAGCTAAATTGCAGCGGAAACATTTTAATTTTCAGAACTGGACACCTCCTGAAGTTAAATACACATTTAGTAATTTATCCTCAAGAGGTAGATTGATTTTTTTCAGACCACTGAGCATGCAACAGCTCACCAATTTAAGAGAAAATTGCTGGTTATTCTGCAGATCTAAAAGTAAGGCCACTTATTCAAAATACTTAAACACAGCCTTATTCATTTATCTTTAGTCACACCAGTTTTGAAATGGTGTGCCTAACACAGGAATGAGCACTCAAATGTGAAGAAATAAAAAGTTTAAAATCCCTGCCTTTCACTCACTGAACAGTGAGGATAAGTATAAATATTTAACCCTTGCATCACTCACCACACAGTCCACTCTACAAATCTTTGCATTCTGTTGTACAGCCCTTTCCACATAACCCCTACACATCAGAGAATTGGTAACTGACCCTTTCACTTCACTGCTCGTGAATCTAATCTCTAGTACAGATGCATTTTTTGGAGATAAAAAACACTCGCTGACTCTTCCTCGCCCCTACATGAAGCTCCTTTCCAAAGATGAGATATACAAGAGCTGAAGATATCTTTAAACCCCCGGTTTATACTGAAGAAGTCGCCATATTAGCTATTCAAGGCATTTCCTCCAAAATTCTTCTTTAGATGATATTACTCAAACTCACTTTCCAGAATTCATATTACGCTTTGAGCTATAGATTGAAGAAATTTAAAGAGCAGTAGAACAGGATACAAACTCCCATGATGATTTAAAAAAACAAAACAAAAACAAAAAAACCCAACAACTTTTGTCACTAAAACAGCTTGAAATTTATGTGGTCTAAAACCCATTTGCTTTTTATCATACAATATTTAACCTATGCAGCAAAAAAAATGTTTTTGATGTGTGTAAAACACTGCATGCTAACTTTAATTGATTCCTGAGAAATATTTTCACCCCCCAATGTTCCATTCTATTAGCAGCTCAGCTTGAACATGAGCACCAAGGTCCCAAAAGCTGCAGCCATTTATTCCTGATGCAAGTAATCCTACTAAAATCAATAGGTTAACTCATGTACTTGTGTAAGTATTTGCAAGATTAGGTCTAATAAATTATTTTCAACAGAAGCTTCCTCAGAGAAGGGGAGGGATGGGGGGAGTTAGAAAGGGTATGAGAATAAACAATTTATTTCTTGGATAGCTTCTATGAAGAAGGAAGTGTTAAGAAGATTTTGTTAGGAGACACACATCTTTATAGAACTAATTTATTTGCTCTCACAGACCCAGTTAGAGCATTCAGCCCAGAAATTTGTATAGCCCAATCTATTTGCTTGGCAACTTATCTTTAACATTATCACCAAAATAATGCAGTATTTAATGTAAACAGTATCATCACTAGTTAAATCACCAATTATAGTATCTAAATATATTTCAAAACCTACTAAAAATAATAATCTATCCTATGTTTAAATTTAAGATTTGCATGTTTTGACTCTTGTGCAAGAAAGTTAACTCACTGGCATATTCAGGGAATTAATGCAAGCAAAGTTTAAAATGGACATGAGTGGGTTTTCTTATTTCATTTTTACAGGTCAGAGAAGAAATAGTTCCATCCTTTTCTGTCTAAAATCTGTCCAGAAGATTCTCTTTGATCAAAAATTTTTGACTGAAGTGGGAAAAAAAATATTATACCAATGCATAAAGGTATCAATGTAAATGAAGATGACAGAGTAATGACTGACATTATTGTGGACTGTGTGTATTCCTCACTCAGAAATATAGTGTTAAATGTGGCATTTCAAAGGAATGATAAAAGACGAATAAATTAAAAGAAATAAGGGAAGATGTTCAAAAGGGAATATGGTTTCACCCCATTTATGATCCAAGAGGAAAACATGTTGATATCCAGGCAAAAAGATCATGACTTGCATCATCTATTGTGCAACAGGTATCCTGGGAAGATCAAACACATTCATTCACTCTACTTAAGAATATGGCATTAGAGTTGGAAGAAAATAGAAGAAGAATTGCCTTTATAAAGTATTTGTTTCAATTTTGCAGGCTTCAAAAGTACAATGGCCTTTTTGTTTTATTTTTCAGAAAAATATATATTTAAAATCAGGTTTTTGTTTTTAAGCTCCTTTTTGCCACTATGAAATACAAAACATTTCTACTTCTTCATTTTTGTTTTGCTAGTTTAAGACTCTCTCAATTTTAACTTTTAAATTGAATTTGTTTTTTATTCTGGGAGAAGCAAGGATTTCTTAGGTTGATCTTTTATTGGACTAACTGTATAGTTACGGTAGCGTTCAACAAGCTTTCAAATGCAAGATATTCTGTCAGGTCTGCCTAGAAGAATGTCTTGCATTTGAAATCCTTGTCTGCAAGTTCTTGGACCGCCACGGTTACAGTATCCTAACACTATCATTTTTTATCCTGAAATTGTGCACCTTTCCCAAAGTTGAAGAAGTCTTTAAAAATTAGAGTAGCAAAGAAACAAATAAAAACTGTTTAAAAAGCTAGGCTTCATTCATTAGTGGGAACAAAAGCTTTGTATAAAAACCTAATTAAATAAAGCTTTCAAAGACATCTCAAAAGTGGCCTCTTAAGAAAAAGAAATATTTTGAGCAAAAATATTTTACTATCACCAAAATCAGAATTAAGTTCACAATTTCTGGACAGCTGTTTTCAATGACAAGACAAGCTGCATTTAAAATACAATAGCTGAAATAGGTCTGCAACTGTGTAAGACAGTGATGCTCGTCCTTTCAGCATCATGGGCCAGACAAGTGGAGTGGGACCAGTCCACAGACCAGATCCCATGCATAGGTACAGTTCATGGGTCAGATCCTGGGCAGGATTAGCATGTGGGTTCAGTCACTGGGTGTGATCCAGCCACACACGCCAGATCTGCACTGATCCCATGCACTGGCCCCAACACATATCATCATGATCTAGCACACAGAGCTATGTCAACCAGCCTATACAGCTCCCCATGGGTCCAAAAAAAATGTTCTCACTGCTCTCCCACCACCAAATTCCTGGAGGCATATAGAGACCCCAGGGCTGGATGACACAGGCTTGTGGGTCAGAGGCTGAGCACCATGTATGTAAAACATCACTTTCTTCTGTGAAATTACAGCTAATCCAAGAGTAATTATGACCAAGAGGAGGCATAACAACATGGCCAGGCACCTGGGCCAAGTACCACATGTGAGCAGCAGTAACTTCTGGTTACCACTGGCATATGTGGCTGCCTCAGCCACCCTGCCCTAATTACACCACTGTGACCAAATACTTAGAGCAAGGTTGCTCTCAATCCCTGGCCTGCGAGCCAGATCCAACCCCTCCTATGGGGAACCCTGTGGGCTATGGTCCTTTGGGCTACATGGGGCTCGCAGGGCCTGATCCTGATCATCCAGGTGCAGCACTGAACCTCTGGAGCCCAATCCTGGCTGGGTGGGGACAGTACCCCACATTGCCCCAACCCAGCCCCCATGCACCGGGATTGCGCCGCTGGGGGCTTTGCCACTCCAAGCCAGCTGGGATTGGGCTCTAGCTGGTTGGAGACAGCATGAGGCCTGATCCAGCCCACCCTGGCCCTGTGGCACTCATCCGGCCCATGGTGCTCACAGTTTTGGCCCCACTGTTTTAGAGTATATATTCAAGTTAGCTTGTGGTTCTGGAAGTACAAATTCAATCCTCGATTCTTACTGGCTTCAGTTTTTTTTGTGTCAGCAATTCACAACCAAGGTACCACCAGAATCCTTTAAAAAGGTGACAACATGTGAGGCGAGGCAAAAAAGGGAAGGCACAAGCTTGTCCCTGGCTGACCAGTCCTCAACACCCATGGCGCAGTTGCTCTACAAGAAGGCAAGCACTGTAGTATATAAATTAGTTTTTGAAATTAGGTGTCACTCAATTCACAACAGTTATGGAGAGTTGCCTCAAGTCCAATGAGGTGGAGAACCACTGATTTAAACTAACTGAAGAACTGTGTCTCGTCTATAAAATCTATGAATAAACATTTCTGGTAATACTGGTAGCTACCTTAACTCGTTTATTTGAGTTGCTGGTTACAGCTTAAACACAGATGCTATTTGAACTATAATTTACACTGCTATTCATTACTTCCAGAGAGTTTACTTTTAGTACTTAAGTAGGATGAAATAGTCCCCCTGCACCTTCTGCATTTTTATTACAGATTTATTTAAGACTACTGTGTATTCCAATATGTTGTACAGAAGCAGCTGTACTAATAGGCATAATTCCAAGAAACACGTGAAGAATTCATTACCATCCTAAGTGATGAAGTGCCCTCTGGGCCAGATTCAACCAACAGGACAGTATGAAGAAGCTTACATTATGGCTACTTACACATTTCTTGTTCTGTGGTTAGAGGCTTTGTTCCAGCATGGTTTACCCAAGCAGCAAATTTACATGTTAAGAAAGCAATATAAATGAGGCAAGATTTTATTTAAACCAAGTTATCATCATTATATACTCTCCAAGTGACATTGAAATTAGATAAAGATGATGAAGGTTTTCCTGGTCAATACCAACAGCCAATTATTCACCAGGCATGTTGGCTGATACTGATCTAATAACCAACTCGCCTGCAGCCACACACGTGCACATGGCCAGGAATGCAGCCAGGCAGCATGGAGAGCAGCACCGTGCAGGTAAGTCTGTGGAGGGGAAGGGGCATTGGGGGAGGGAAGGAGTGTAGGGGAGGCAGATAGAGGTCTCCATGGTGAGGGAGGGACTGGGACAGGGTCAGGATGGACCTGTGGGCAGCACATCCAGGAGATCAGTGTCCTGGCACTTAAAAATGACAGCAGTGATACTTGAACTAAAGCTTGCCAAATGAGCTTTAGTTCAAGCTCAGCTGCTACCATTTAAGTGCTAAGACACTTTTAGGAGCAGAGCCGAGTGGGGCCCAGGCAGAAGTGGGCTGCCCACTGCGGGCTTGGGACTCTTCAGTCACTCACCTGCCTTTGCCCTGGGAGCCACGTGCTTGCCACACATTCCTTGCCCATCTGGCAGCAGGAGGCACAACTTGCTGCTACGACTGCTGCTGGACAGGCAGGGGACGCATGGCCAGCACATGGCTCCCAGGACTAAGGCAGCAGGGCGGAGAGCCCCAAGGCCACAGCAGGCAGCCTGCCTCCACCCTGCATACAAGTCTGGGGAGGCACATGCCCACCCTGGGGAGGTGCGCAGTGACAGGAAGCCACCCTCCCTCCCCACACCCCCTGGATGAGCTGCCTGCGGCTCCATCCCTCTCCCCACCCTGGCCCCAGGGTCCCATTCACCGCCCTGGCTGTACAGCACCCCCAGCTCCAGCCCCACTACCTCCCTCACCATGGAGGGGGCCTCAATTTGCTCCCCCGCCACACACACCCCTTCCCCTCTACAGACTTATCTGCAGGTTGCTGTTCTCCATGCAGCCCAGCTACATTCCTGGCCACATACATGCTGCAACTGGGCTCATGCACAAAGCATCCAGAACCCTGGCCAGAAGGCATATTGTATTTAAAAATCGGTGACATTAAAATCAGCCACACCGGCCAAAAAAAGCCAGTGTAGGCTTTGGATTGGCACTGAGAATTTTCCTTTTATTGGTGCTGATCCGATATGGCACCAATATAACTGTGCCTCTCTAGCTGAAATAAATCACCATGTCTCAAAAAAGTGTACAGTGACCTAAATTTCTAATACAAAACAGTTTTATCTTGATCAAAACTAAGTAAAAAAATTTAAGTCAGATGGTTCTTGGAAGCCAGAACAGCTTGATTCTGGTTATGTAGTTTATGGCATCTTAGTACTGTCAACATTGATTTTATCATAACTCTCATATTTTTTCCCCCTCCTCAAGTACTACCTCCTGCAGTCACCAAGTGAAATCTCAGTATTTAAAAAAAAAAAAGTTTCAAGTCTCTCTCCACATCATCAATTTAGAAACAAAAGCCACAAACCTTAAGGCTCAAGAGTCTCCCAAAATTTTTTATTTTTTTTTTCAAATATGCAATTTGACACCTGACAACTCTTAAATGGAAAAAAGATAGTAGTAAATATTTAAAAGTAAGATAGAACAAGCCATTATGTCTTAAGACATTAAAAAAAAAAAAACCCACAAAGGCCCTTACTTGGGTAGGCTGGTCTTTAATGCGCTGATATCTGAAAAGCAAAAAGCCAGGTTTGCTATAAAGAAGGTTTCAGGGCAGCTCTAAGAGTTCCCAAAGAAATTATAAAAGTTAGTTCTTAAAAACTACATTATAGATTATTTGTATAATGCCAGCCTTTAAAAGAAAGATTTTTTTTTTTTAATCTAACCATAACCTCTCTCATTTGGAAGAGTCTGGGATCCTAAAACAAAAGATTAAGACAAAAAAAAAAAAATCTCATTAATTATAACAACAAGGCCATACTTCTACACATCTTCACCGATTTTACAAATAATGAAAGCTTTCCCAGTCCCTTTAAGCATAGAACAATGGGAAGATCAGATATATCTTTGCATGAAGTTATAATGCATTTCTAATGTTCATTAGATTTAAACCTGCATATTTTGTCTGGTAACAAAATGCCTCTCAAATTGTATGAGTATATTGTGACATCTAGTGAGTAACTAAGTTATTGCATTTGACCAAATGTGCCCCAAGTATTTTCATATTCTCTTAAACTACATTTCATAAGAAAAAAAGACATGTAAAACTACTGAAGACTTAACATTTCACTGCGTCTAATATACATCCAACTAACGAATTTCATTTTTTCTGTGCCTAACTATATTATTATTCTACACAATGCATACTAGGGAAAAAACGACATGCTGAATCATGAACAAGTACTGCAAAAGAAAATGTTGAGAAAATGGTTTAAACTTTACAAAAGATAAGTGCATATTTGGGGGGAAAAATAGCTGAATTGGAAGACTCAGATGCTATAGCAAGCATTGGCAACCTTCAGCCTGCAAGCCATGCTTGACCCACAAAGGGCAGCAGGGGGGCAGCTGCATGCTACTCATCTCCTCCGCAGCCCTCTCTACTGCTCTCTCATGTTCTTACCCTCATTGCTTCCCTGCAGCAAGGACAGTGCAGGCAGCTTGGATGCCAAGGGATTATGGCAAGGCAAGACAGATTTGCGGCCTGCAGTAAGGGTCACAAATTCCATCCCATGACAGAAACAGGTTGCAATCTCCAAATTTCACAAGCAAAGAATGGGTACCAGGCAATAAAGACTCCTCAGCTACAGAAACACTGCCACTAAGGACAACACTGCATGAACTATTATTCAGTCTCTGCTGTGGAAAGTGCACGTATGGCATGTATAAGCAATTCCACACCATGGGAACACTGAAGAGCTCCCACTAAGTCCGAGTCCCTGGAAACCCCACGTTACTCAAGTTCACAACTTGTATTAGTGCCTACAACAGGGAACAGGTACATCCAGCCTGCAGGCCGGATCCAGTCAGCTGGAGACCATTTCCCAGCTGCCCCTGCCTCCGTGGCTTGTGCCGGTCTCCATGGAGACCCCAGCCTCAGCCACACTGGCAGCGCACGTGGCAGAGCAGCACAAGGGGCTGCTTCAGAGCTGCTGGGAACATGGAATGGGGGAAGCTTGCTCTGGGACCTGGACAGAGCTGTGATCTGTAGCCTGCACGCTCTGGGCAGGGCCATGCATGCAGGGGATCATGGCTCTGCCCCGGCTCCTTGCAGCAGTGACAGCCTGTCTGGAACCAGGACAGAGCCATGATCCCCTGCATGCATGCCCCTGCCTGGAGCATGCAAGCTACAGGTGGCGGCTCCAGAGGAAGCCGCCCCCGTGGCACATTCCCAGCAGCTCCAGAGCAGCTCCCTGCACTGCCAGCGCGGCTGAGGTCTCCATGGAAACCAGCACAAGCCATGGGGGCAGGGGTGGCTGGGAAATAAAGCCCCCAGCCGACCAGCAGCACAGAGGTTCCCCATCCCTGATCTACAACATCCTAACGCAAAGCAAAATAATAAAGACAAATGGCAAGCAAAAAAAAAAAAAAATTACCAGGGGAGTATTGAGGAGTGGAAGGGACTCTCACCTATCATACCTTATACAATTGCTGGGAGTTGCAGGGTTAGTGGTTGGCAGGTCTATAGTAGCTGTGGCCATCCATGATACTCAGTTGTCTGCACATCCTTTCACAGCACCCCTAAAAAGGCACATAACTACCCTGCCTTCATCCACGATTCTGTCAGACTACCAACCCTCCAGCCTGTCCATCTGAGGTAAATGAATACAAACCGATATACTCCAAGAAGCAAATTGCCAGAAGAGTAAATCAAACTTTTGTTGTATTGACATACAACATGTACTCAGCAAGAAAACGAGTTTGTGAATCCATGTGTGATCCCTGCGTGCATGTGCACTACTTCTAGCTAACTGCTATGGGACCTGCACTGATATCTAGAATCATCTTAATGCAGTATGGTTTTTCACTCCCATCTGTAAGTAGTGAACATTCTCCACTGCGGGCCCTGCAGCTTGCATGCTTTTAGCTAGCACTGGCGTCATTCATAAATCAGGGGTTAATAGGGATATAGATAGTTCCAGTGTCTCTGTTGCTACTCAGATTCTTGCCAAGGTGCAAAGAAAAGTTAACGGAATTCAAATGGATTCACTGCTGCTATTCAGAACCTGTGATCCGCAGTAAAACAAAACAAAACAAGGTAAGTTTCACACTGTGGTTTGAAAATGCTATGAATAGCAGCAGTTGTAGACAGCGGGGTTTAAACAAACAAACAAACAAACAAACAAACAAGCCTTGAGTAAAGTAGCAGAGATTGCTCTTCTTCATACAGTCATAACACTAATCTGGCAGGATTAAAGCAACAGAGATAGTCCCCACCCACCCAAACAGGAATCAGGCAGCTGTGGTGGAAGCAAACAACTGAGAAGAATCTTTTTCATCAGACAGAGGCTGTTAAAGTCACTTCATATTTATTAGTTAATGGAGTGTTTGGAAAATAACTAGTAACTGATATCTAAGTGGAGCCCCTAAGCAGAATCCATGAACAAATCATCTTTAAGAATCCCAACCACCATTTTTCAATAACTACATCTGACTGAGCCTTTGGACCTCTCAACCTGCATCACTTATGTTTCTTACCAGCATCTCACTAATAGACACGAAGTAGAACCTAAGAGCAACTGAAAAATGAGGCTTTGGCAACAAAATTTAGTTTGTATCCTTCCATGGAAAGCAAACATCGTTAAGGGAAGGATAAGGCACCAGTGCTTATTATCACTGAATATTTTCTACAGCAAAGAAAGCAACTATATGTATTTTTTATACATTCCCACACCTAGTAGGATCTCTCTTGTAAGCACTGCAATCTTCTCCCAGCAGACTCTCCCCTGGTCAAGCCTTCCTTAAGTGACATACTCAGCCCTTTAGAAGCCCAAAGGCTGAAAAGCAGTCAACAACATTGAACCACTCATCAGAAAAGCAGTCCTCTCCTTTCCCTAACAAGCAGTCCAGTCATGACTTTTTGGCATGTCTGCCTGAAATGAAATCAAAGAATTCTCATTAATAGTATATACACAAAGCAATAGTATCAATATCAGGGATGATTCTACCAATAGTGGTTAAAATGCAACTGTTATACCCAAATACTCCTATAGCCCTAAAAGCATAACAAAATTGTTACAGCTTCAAAGCCATTCCATCCAACTTAGACATAGAAAGCAGCCTAGGCGATAGTGACCGTGAAATCATTACATTCATGGTCCGTCGCAAGGCTGACAAGACAGATATCAAGCTCAAAGTCTTAGATTTCAAAAATGCAAATTTTAAGAGGCTCAGGTCACTAGTAGAGAATGCCCTGAGAGACCAAGGACCACAGGTAAAGGGAGCATGAGAAGAATGGACGTTCCTTAAGGACACAATCCTTAAGGCTCAGAAAAAAAATTAATTCCCTTGTGGAGAAAAAAGTAGCAGAAGGATCAAAAAACCCTCTTGGCTAAGCAGGGAAGCTGCAGCCCGCCCTACTACAGAGAAACAAAGAAGCGTACAAACAATCGAAGCTTGGGACAGCCTCCAAGGAAGACTACATGACAATGACCCACATTTGTAGAAGCCAGATTAGGCAAACTAAGGCAGAAACCGAACTAAAACTAGCTACAAGAATCAAGGACAAAAAGAAGTCCTCCTTTAGCTACATAGGGAGTAAAAGAAAATCTAATGGGAGCGTGGGGCTGCTGCTCAATGCCTCAGGATACCTGGTCACTACCACTCAGGAAAAAGCGGAACTCCCAAGTACCCTACTTTGCCTTGGTCTTTCACAAGACCAAGGGGAACAACACTCCAGGTAGGGTACAGAACAAGCAGGGTGGGATTGACACCATTCCCACAATTGCCATAGAAGTGGTGTACGATCAATTAAAGAAATTAGACGTATATAAATCAGCAGGACCGGATGAACTCCACCCAAGAGTGTTGCAAGTGTTGGCCAAAGAGCCCCGATAAAGATCTTTCATAAATCATGGGCCTCTGGAGAAATCCCAGAGGACTGGAAGAGGGCCAGTGTTGTGCCCATCTTCAAGGAAGGGAAACGTGAGGACCCAGGAAACTACAGGCCAATTCACTTAACTTCTATTACAGGGAAAATTCTAAAAACATTCGGAAAATCCTAGAAAAGTTCATCAAGATAAGTTTGCAAAAGGGAAGATTCTGAATGACAGTCAGCATGGCTTCATCACAGGCAGGTCTTGTCTGACCAACCTCATTTCGTTTTATGATCAGGTGACTCATCACCTGGACAAGAGAAAAGCAGTTGACATCATATACCTCAATTTCCAGAAAGCCTTTGACTTGGTATCCCACAAGGTACTGATCAGAAAACCGAAAGATATTGGGCTCAACTGCAGGACCATCAAGTGGATGCAAAACTGGTTGTAGGGTAGGATGCAGAGAGTCCAAATGAACGGATCGGTGTCATCCTGGCAAGATGTGGAAAACGGCGTACCCCAGGGCTCAGTACTTGGCCCAGCGCTGTTCAACATCTTCATCAATGACCTGGATGAGGCAGTGAAAAGCCCATTTGCCAAGTTCGCAGATGACACCAAGATATGGGGTTGTGCAGACACACCCACAGATAGGCTGCAGATACGAGCAGACCTAGACAGGCTGGCATGTTGGGCAGAACAGAGCCAGATGAGGTTCAACATAAAGAAAGGCAAAGTGCTGCATCTGGGAAGGAAGAACCCCTAGCACACCTACAGGCTGGGCATCGCTAACCTGGCCAGCACTACAAAAATGAAAGGGATCTGGGGGTAATAATAGAGCCCAGCATGAATACGAGCCAGCAACGTGACAGTAGCCACTAGGGTTAATAAAACTCAGGCATGCATCAATTAATGCATCTCCAGTAAAACCAAAGAAGTGATTCTCCTGCTTTACTTAACATTGGTGCAGCCGTAGCTGGAGTAGTGTGTCCAGTTCTGGGTGCCACACTTCAACAAGGACATGCTAAAGCTCGAGAGGGTCCAGAAAAGGGCCACCCATATGATCAGGGACTTGCATGGCAAGCCATACGAGGAGAGGCTGAGGGATCTCGGACTCTTCAACCTAAAGAAAAGAAAGCCAAGAGGGAACCTGATTGCGGTTTACTGCTATATCAGAGGCATATATCAGGGACTCGGTGAATAACTGTTCACCAGCACGCCCTGGGGAAAAACTAGAAACAATGGCCACAAACTCCTGGAACATAGTTTGGAACATAGGATGAACATTAGGAAAGAATTCTTCACAATTAGGATGACCAGACTATGGAACAAGCTCCCCCCAGAGGTGGTGCAATCTACCCTAGAGGTCTTCAAGAGAAGACTGGACAGCCACCTGGCTGGGGTCACCTGAACCCAGATATCTTTCCTGCTCATGCAGGGGGGCTGGACCTGATGATCCTTCAGGGTCCCTTCTAGTCCTATGACTCAAGATTAAAAGATTTAGCATTTTAGCTAAGTTGCATCACTATAGATACACGAAGATCTAAGAGCTATATCATTCCAAATGACTCACATTCACCAATAGCACTTTCTCCTTCTCCTTTTAAAACTGTTAAAAGTTATGTTTGTCCATAGCCTAAAGCAGAATCTTAAGGTTTCACATTTAAAAAATAAATAAATAAAAAAGAAGAAAAAAAAAAACTTCTCTCGGTTTTGAAAATAAAACAAAACAAAACGAAGCACAAACCAACGTACTGACAATTCCTTAAAGAGAACCTGAGACACAGGCAGAGAGAATGGCTGCTGTTCATCTCAGGGGATTGGCAGAGTCAGTATTGTTAATTATTTCTTTGTTGATCAGAGCATAGAAGAACACTGTGGGAAACCCTATCGAACTGAAGTCTTCCGCAAATAGAATTATGGCTGTTTATCAATCAAGTGTAGCATTACTCATGCTCTGCCTGGGTTCAAGTAAAAGAAATATACAACTCTCCTCATTCCCCAATTTATCATGGGGCTCCTTCCCCCTCCACACCTCATTTGTGGGCAGGCAGGTAAGATGAAACTAAGAAAATGAGACTCAGTGGGCATGAGATGCTAAATGCGCAATAAACTAATTCTACCATGTAGTAGCGCATCAGGGTGAAAGCTGTGGTATCACACTAAGAATTCATGGCCTGGTGCTACTGTGCAGCAGCACCAGTTACTGCGTATTTCACTGGTACCTGTTACAGAGACTCAACTTACTGTCCAGAGTAACGACAGCACATTAAATGTACATGCAAACATGTCCAGTGTGGCCAGCTGGGCTACATCTTCCCCCAAATGTCAAACTACTAAGGGGCTCTGAAGAGAGAGGAAGGAAGGAAGCAAACAAACCAAGAAAGCTACACCCATTTAAAACTCTAAACCCTGGGTTAAAACAGGAATATTAATAAGTTGGACCCCTGGTGTTTAGGGAGCAATAACAACTCTTCAAGAACCTTGTTTTAAACTTAATCCACATGACTAGGCTGAACCAAGGACCCAGGGGATGAAAATTAAAAGTAGTCTGTGCCACGGGTGGATGTGGAGGGTGGGGAAGGGGTGTGCACCGATTCCTGCTCCAACCAGTTTAAACCCAACTGCCTGGCACTGCCAGGGGCAGGATTTTAGCCAGGCAGTGCTGCAGGACCCCTAACTTCGCGGGAGCAGCTCCCGCTCACCGCCTCCTTTTCATGCGCTTCGTTCCAGGCCGTTAACGTCTGTCCGTTCCTGTGAAACGCTCCCACTTCCCAACCACCTTGGGAACAGCCGCACCACATCCCCGCCCCCCAACGCTGAGCACTGCGCATGCGGGGGCACCAGAGGGGGGTACACTACCACACCACGCATGCGCAAGCAATGCCCCTCCCCCGGCAGCGCTCCTCAGCCCCGCCCACTCAGCTTGGGGTGGGGAGGGGGCCGATTCCGCGCTCCGCCTCCCCCCCCAGTGCCACACTTACGCCCAGCAGGGGGCCTCTTCCTATCACTGTCTCCCCGCGCGGCAGAGCCACAGGGCAGCCCCCGTCCACGGGCGCTAACTGAAACCCTGACATGGCGCGAGGGAGCCGCCCAGAGGGAGGTTTTGCTCCCCCCCACCCCCTTCTCCGCTTCCACTTTCGAGGCCCCGCCCACTTACGTTGAACACCGCCCCCACGCCCAGCTGTGCCTCCCGGAAGCAGTAGTCTCCAACTGCCGCTCCCCCTTCCCGGGACAACTACAAGTCCCAGCATGCAGCGCATGCGCCCGGGACGGGGGGAAGGCCTCCGGCTTGTAAACATCCCGGTTGGAATGAGGGTGACTCGTCACGGCGCGAGGCCAGGTACTGGGGAAAGGGGCGGGGCTTAAGCCGGGGCCGCCGCTGGCCACTTTGCTCCTGCGTTATGCGCACGCACGCCCCGCCTCCCGGGCGCAAGGCAGGAGGCAGTTGGGCCAGGGTCGCCCCGAGCCGTAGTCGTTGCTAGCCCCAGCGCTGGTCCCTGGTGTGGTCTGCCGCTGGCTTAGGGGCTGGTCAGAGCCTGGCCGCAGTGGGGCCCTGCTCTGGTATTTGCAAAAGAGGCAAGCTTGTTTTCAGTCCCTGCCAGCCCTTGCGTATGTTGCGCCATTCACTGCCCAGGCTTGCACAATAAAACATAGATCAACCACCCACACCAAGCACTCATCACGCCAGAGCGGAAATAGGAATGTCCATCCAACTAAAGAGAGTCAGCGGGCTACCACGCTGGTGCTCAGAAATGTGCAATGATTGCACAGCTGGATTTTCTCACCAGCTTTCATTTAAATGTGGGGTGCAACCCTTGGGTGGGGGGGGAGGGTCTCTCTCATCCGACTGATTCTGGAGTTGGGATCAAAGGCAGATGAGCTTTCCAATGTAAGGCATACGGCCCGAGGAAGACGGTCTTGGAGCCAAAAGCTTGTCTAACTTTTATCCTAATCACTCACCTGGTCCAGGAAAAGAGAGATCGCCCTCAGATTGATGCTCAGTCTTGGCTCTGTGGGCTGCGTGAGTGGCCTAGAGCCAGTCTATGGAGTGCATGGAGCCCCACATACCAAAAATCAGGCCCTTTGCCTCAGCACCTTTAACCCCTCCATGCACCTAGTTGGACTGTGGGGTGCTGAGCCCTTCTACCCCCACAAGCTGGAATGGGGTCCAAGCACCACTCCCTTTTACCCTTCCACAATGCAGTTGTGGCCTGGTGCTGCCCCTTCTTGACCTCCCCCCCACCTCCACTTCCAGGATTTGCCCCTGGAGCCTAACACGACCCTAGCTGGCCCTGCACACTGGGATCTGGCACTCGATCTAGCACGCAGGGCCTGGGGCTCCCGTGAGTGGCAGCTTGGCAACAGAAGAGCAGTGCTGCTGCTCCCCCACTGCTAAGTTTCCAGACCCATGGGGAGTCCCAAGGGCCAGATGACAGCCAGATCTGCCTGCAGGCTGGGGGTGAAGAACCCCTGCCCCAAAAGACATCCTTGCCCCTCACATATTTTCTAAACCAGCACAGCAACAACAACAACAACAACAACACTTCACACTCCTTTGTAAAGTGCTGAGAAAAACGTTTGGCAAGAGACCGATCTTCCCCATCCATTCCCTTCCCCTCTACACAGACAGCATCCCCATGTTGTTCCCTCCCAATTAGTCTTCATGGTTGATTTGCAGTGTTGCTAGTTCTTGCCATTTTCTGTGAAGTCTCATTATTGGAAAGTTACTGAAAGCTGCAACTCCTAGAGAAATGTGGTGGTATGGGAATAATGCAGTAGGTCCCAAGCTTTACCCATCTTGTTTTAAAGCTTCTGGCCCAACAAAGCCTGAAGGGGTTTTCTGGGGGAGGGAGGAAGCCTCTCATGGTTGATTTGCAGTGTTGCTAGTTCTTGCCATTTTCTGTGAAGTCTCATTATTGGAAAGTTACTGAAAGCTGCAACTCCTAGAGAAATGTGGTGGTATGGGAATAATGCAGTAGGTCCCAAGCTTTACCCATCTTGTTTTAAAGCTTCTGGCCCAACAAAGCCTGAAGGGGTTTTCTGGGGGAGGGAGGAAGCCTCTTCTCTCTCTCTTTCCCCCCCCCCCCCCCCCCCCCCACTCATCAACGCACACAGCGGTCACTGTGGAA